ACACTCCAACACTTCCTCTGATTCATGCAGCCTTAGAGGTGTGTGTGTGTGTGTGTGATGCGTCGTAGCTAATATTAAGAGTAAAACTGACGTTTTACACAAAAAGATCATAAAAAACTTTCAGAATTACAAGCTGGACGGAGAATCTTGTAAATTCTTGTTTTATTGTAATTTTTTCACATTTGACAAAAGTTTCTTGTTTTGTTTGTTCATTAAAACCAAAGACTAACAGCAGGGAGATTTTTTTATTTGAACAAAGATAAATCCATCTGGATCTTTTTCCAAGCAAACAACGAAGTCAGCTCTGTATTCCTTAATGATCTACAGCAGTGATCCGACGGAATAATGGATTTGACTCCAGAGTTTCTCAGAAGTCTCTTTTCTGCCTCTAAAGCCTCCAACGTTTCCCACGTGCCTTCAGGCAGGGGGACTACCGACGGAAGTGAGCCTTTTGGCGGTCTTTGGGTACATTTACACTGTAAAATGTTCGTTTATGCACTCTAAAACACACAACAGTTAGACCTTCATGGCTTTAGACGTTGTTCCCAGTTCTCTTAAGAATGCTGCTTTTTGAGATGGTTGAACCTATTTCGTGTCGTCGGTGTTCCACTGAAATCATGACCTCTGACCCCAACTTTACCCATGTGAGACCTGCAAAGCTTTAGATGTTGTTGTGGCTTCTTCGCAGCGTGGCGTGTTGCTTTTTGTGCTCCTTTAGCCTGCTCCATGGTGTCAGACAGGTTCTTTTGCAGTTTTCTCTTCATTCTGCAGGTCTGGCAGTAATCAGCTCAAACTCTGAGATTAATGCCCTCCGTGCGTAATCTAACCGGGGAGCGGTGACTTTTCCACATGTTGATTTGGAAATCGGAGCCCTCTTGATCTATCCATTCATAGACTCACGGTTTTCCTCTTCTGAACTTGAACAATCCAGTGTTCTCCAGTTGAGACGATTACTGGTGGCAAATGAAATCCCGTTAACCTTTGAGTCCGTCTGCCGTTCATCCCGGAGGCGGGTTAAACACATGCACGTCCTGCTTCTGGTGGAAACTGGTGTCAAAACACCCTGATAAACCGTATCTATCCAGTCCTTTCCATTACAGCCCCAACCATCCCATAATCTCCCACTTACTCTGCTGCCGAGCCTCCGATGCGGGTAATGGAGAAGAGGGGAGGCGGTTAAACGGGCGGCCCGCTCTCTTCCCACCCCCCGCGCAGATGAATCACAGCTAATTGACATTTAGAGGCTGGTGGCATTTGCCTGTTTACGCGGGGCCTCCCCGTGTAGACGGCGTGCCGCGAACACGCCAGGAACATGCTGATGGGCTGCTCACTCATCCACATTAACATCCCAATCACACACTAATAGAAGGCGATCAAGCACAGCTGTTTGGTTTTGTTTGGGCTTTTCCTCCTGTCAGGATGTCAGTTATGTCAGCTTGTGTGTGGGCGGCTGCCAGCAGCCGTCAGGCGACGCGACGGAGCACATCTGTGTGAAGCTCTGTACCTTCGGTTCAGTGCAAGTGAAATCTGAAACCTTTTGATTTTAATCGGCTTTCTTTTGTAACGTAGTAATGTTGATATTAAAACCTGTTTTTTAGTGAAAGACTTGATCCTTTCCGACACGTTTAGCTAAAACTCGGCTGATTTCTTCATGCAGCATTCTTCCGTTTGTAATCACACGAAAACGTTCCTCCTCTGCCAAGTTTCTGCTCCCGGGAGTTGTGGCGCCATGAACGGGATCATCCTTTTCACTTGTGCAGCCCCTCATTATCACACTCTCACCTCCGTGCCTTCAAGTCCACGACTCCGAATTAACGTCCGCGCCTCCGACTCGGTTTAGCCAGGCTTCTGGAGCTCATCAGAGCTAAATGAGTTCATCTCGGTCCCATCTGACCACATTTAGTTTGTCTGGGTGTTTCGAGTTCGAGTTCGGATCAAAGCTCAGAACTTTCTGCTTGGAGAACGTCCAGGAAGTAGCTGCAGCCTTGGATGCAGGAGAACCCGGGAATTACAGGGAAGGGAGAACTTCCTCTGAGGCTCATTTAGGAGCTTCTTCAGTTTAAAAAGTGATACCAGAAAAAAAAGCATTAAAGGTAATGAAATGTCTTTTATTGGTGTTTGGAGCCATTCTGAACACAGCAGCTGACGGACTTATTTTCAGCTGTTCATCGGGAGCGTTTGAGTTTAAGTAGGGAAAACGTTTATGGTTACGAGACTCCGCGCTCGCTCCCCTCCTCACATTCTCATAACGGTGAACTTTTTCCTCCTCTCCTTTTTGACATTTTCGAACTTTTCCGTCTTTATTCCCCGATCCCATCTGCATGTGGGTTTGCGGCGCCTGCGGGCGCTCCCCCTGCTTTAGCCTCTTTCCATTAATAAGTCTCTCTCTGTGGTCCTTTTTGATTCTGCTGCATTTATCCGACTCACGGCTCTTTTCCTTCCAGCCTCTTTCACACTTTTCTTGACTTTTTCTGCACGTCTAAAATCACCTCTGCTCTCCTTTTCACAGCTTATGTTTCACGTTTTCTTTATAATTCAGAGTTTTGTTTTAAAGCCGTTTTTGTTTGCTATGAATAATCGGTCTATTGCAGGGTCAAGTCCCTTCCCAGCATGTTTTGGTTGTTTCTCTGCTCTGAAACACCTGGATGTAATCAGCAGAAGACTAACCAGCTTCTGCAGAGCTTGGCGAGTTGCTAATCAGGTGAATGAAATGTGTTGGAGCAAGGAAACAATAAAAACATGTGAATGCTGGTCCCCCGGGTCCAGCGTTGAGACCCTTTAGTCTACGAGATGGTGGTTCCGACTATCCAGGTGGGATGTTTAATCCAGAGGTGGAAAGAAGAACCGTGAGGACCTCGTCTGGGTTCTGGAGCTGAGGACTGGACCAGAATTGTGTCTCTCCCTCGTTTTAGACTAACCTATCCGAGTTAAAGCAAAGCTGGAGTTGCGTCTGTATTCTCGGCTCGAGCTCGTTATTCGTGCCGTCATTTGGACCGGACTTCCAGACGTAGACATGGAGAGGAGGTCGTCTGGTTTGTGGTCCTCTGGGTCACCTTTTACTTCCATGCATGCTCTCTATGGGATGCTCTCGTCTGTTTTGGGAATGGTGTTTCTGCGTGACGGTGGGATGTAGAACATCTACAACACCAGTCTGCTATCGACCATGAAAAAACACTCAGGGAGTGACGCGATGACTAGTGACAAGTGTACAATGCAAGAGCAGAAACATTAGCAACAATGGAGGCTACATACATGAACATGTGGACCGCTCCTTTTTGGAGATGACTTCAGAGACTAAAGAGGTGCTCACGCTCCCTTTCATCGTTGCCATCTTGGGTATTTGTCAGCTTTTAGAGATGTATGCCTGTGACCTTTGGTGTGTCCTTAAATTCACTGAGATCTTGGGCCGTGGTGAACGCCACGTCTGTGCACAGTCTGACGTGAGCCAGCTGTAGATCTGAGACCCTGAGAGGAGGGTGTAGGCGTCCCTCCTGGACCTGTTGTTGGAGTAAACAGTTGTTCATGGTTCCTGGTAATGTCTGTCGGTATCCTGTCATCAGAGGGTTTAATTTGTCTTATTTAAACAAGGAAAAGGACAGAAGAGGAAACTTAAACTGAGACCAGCTTTTTAGTCATGTGAAAACTGGTTTTTATGGTTCTGAGTGTCCGAATCTGACGGAAACGAATCGTCGCCTTCAGGGTTTGAGCTGAGCACCGCTGACTGTCTCAGTGTCACCGAGACGTTCTGACTGATGAACACACACCGTTCGGCGTGCATATGCCTTCACGGGGAGACTCATCCTTCTATAGTGGTGTGCATGCACACACACACACACACACACACACACAGGCACACACGCACACAAAGGCGCACACACACACACACACACACACACACACACACACACCTTTTGTTTGTTGGTGTGTGTTTTACAGCTGATTTGCAGCCTAATCCCCTGCAGCCGCTCACCTCCGTGCAGCGGCGTGTAACTTATTGTCCTAATCAATCCCTCACACACTAAGAGGCTTTTTCCATGGAGCCACCCGGGGTTCGCCCGCCGCCAGCCCCTGCTTATCCCCTCCTCCTGCAGGGAGAGCGAGAGGCCGACTCCCCGCAAGAATTTTATCTTTCCAGGCCCAGAGGCACGTTGAACGGGTGGGGGGTGGGGGGGTTAGGATCTAATCCAGGGTCAACGGGGGGCTCAGAGCAATTAAAGGTAACGAGCGTCTGCAGGTAGAAAACACTAATCATTAACTATCTGAGCAGAAAACAGGATTTGTTTAAGGACACATTTATGTTCTGATGGAGCCAAAGACTGGATTAAACTGGATTACAAGTTCGTTTTCTCCCTCTGGTTCTGGTTTCGGTTCTGTCTCATTCTGATAATCTGGAGCATGATGAGGTCATTAATCTTAAACACCAACAGCCTGAGTGGAATAAAACAGCAGGATCATTAGTTCTGTTTTCTGGAAGCTTCTGGTTGATGATTACCACCGTTAGGAAATCGTGTTATCGTTGCCAAATGCCACCGACTTTAAACTGCTTCATGTCTCCAGCGGACTTGTGTGAGGAATATTTGTTGGTTTGGTGTTTCGGAGGCTCTGCTGGTCAGCAGCCTTTCAGATTCTCGCTTTCATCTCCGGGTTTGAACAGTTTGTTCTGAGACGACCCGCGTCGACCTGAACGCAGATTTTTCCTCTCAGGGCAGAAAATCCAGATTCCAAATTTTAGGAACATCAAAAGGATTTATAACCTGAGCGTGCGTGGCGCTCCTAAAGGCTCGCCTCCTAGCGTCGGCTCCCCGCGCTCAAACTCCGCTCTAATGAGTCGGACCGAACCCAAAGGAGCCGGCTGAGAAGCTGCCCGAGGCTCGGTGCCAGATTGATGATTCAGTTTCTTTAATGACTTCAGAACTTTTCAAACAAGAAGAAAAATCACTGGTGTCCAATAAAGTTTGAGTTAGCCTCACAAACCGAACTTCCTGTTGGTTTTCCTGCAGGCGCTGGAGCTCAGAAGGTACGGGTGAAGGAGGAGCTGGAGGCGTATCCCACGGAGTCGGTGGAGCTCAGCTGCCAGTTCATCGATGGAGGAAGTTCCACCAAACTCACTCAGGTCAGAAAAATAACGACCTCGGTGCATCCATGTTCCGTAGCAGTTCTGAGATAAATCCATGGAAAACTCTGACTTTAGTGGGTCGGACCGATGGTTTCAGTAATGATAAAATATTTTGTCTGGAGCAGCATTTATGATTATTAACGGCAACATCAGTAAAGTCTTGATATAATATTGAAATAGTTTAGATTTTATCTGGAATAAATGAGAGAATTTCTGGCTACTTCCTGAAAATCCAAAATCATAATTCATCGAATCCCAACACGACTTTTGGAATTACTAAAGACTGAAACGCCACCAGTTATGATCACCATGGTAACCACCAGTAGCTCGTTAAGACCAGCATGGTAACCACCAGTAGCTCGTTAAGACCAGCATGGTAACCACCAGTAGCTCATTAGGCTCACCGTGGTGACCACCAGTAGCTCGCTAGGATCACCATGGTAACCACCAGTAGCTCCTTAGGATCACCATGGTAACCACCAGTAGCTCGTTAAGACCAGCATGGTAACCACCAGTAGCTCGTTTGGCTCACCGTGGTAACCACCAGTAGCTCGTTAGGATCACCATGGTAGCCACCAGTAGCTCGTTAGGATCACCATGGTAGCCACCAGTCGCCCTTAGGATCACCATGGTAACCACCAGTAGCTCGTTAGGATCACCATGGTAGCCACCAGTCGCCCTTAGGATCACCATGGTAACCACCAGTCGCTCGTTAGGATCACCATGGCAGCCACCAGTCGCTCGTTAGGATCACCATGGCAGCCACCAATCGCTCGTTAGGATCACCATGGTAGCCACCAGTAGCTCGTTAGGATCACCATGGTAACCACCAGTAGCTCGTTAGGATCACCATGGTAACCACCAGTAGCTCGTTAGGATCACCATGGTAACCACCAGTAGCTCGTTAGGATCACCATGGTAACCACCAGTAGCTCGTTAGGATCACCATGGCAGCCACCAATCGCTCGTTAGGATCACCATGGTAGCCACCAGTCACTCTTAGGATCACCATGGTAACCACCAGTAGCTCGTTAGGATCACCATGGTAACCACCAGTAGCTCGTTAGGATCACCATGGTAACCACCAGTAGCTCGTTAGGATCACCATGGTAGCCACCAGTCGCTCGTTAGGATCACCATGGTAACCACCAGTAGCTCGTTAGGATCACCATGGTAGCCACCAGTAGCTCGTTAGGATCACCATGGTAACCACCAGTAGCTCATTAGGATCACCATGGTAACCACCAGTAGCTCATTAGGATCACCATGGTAACCACCAGTAGCTCATTAGGATCACCATGGTAACCAAACACCCGTGTCTCTCGCTCTCTGACTGTATCTAAATATTCAGATAAACAGAAGCCAGGAAGTGAGCCTCGAACCTCGGTCTGTAAGTTCACGGAGCTCCTTAATGTACGTAACTGAAGGGTCTTGTCTCCTCCTCTTTAAACTTTCAGCGCTTTCGGGTTTGGGTTAGGATTTGTTAAAAACTCTTTAGTTCCAATTCCAATCAGGAACACCAGAGATCCAACTGGAGCCAGGAGCAGTTTGGAGTTTCACTCTGAAAGGAATTGTGGGAAAACCACAAGTCTGATAACAGCACGAGTCACTGAAAGAAGACAAACATTGAATAATACGAAGAGTTTGTTGATTTGCAGACATCTGGAAACATCACACGTTATTAACATCTTCAGTAATATAATCTGGATTAAACCATCACAGATATCTAAACGCCATTTCATCCTGCCACCTGTTCAAACTTCTACTGGAAACCTACCTGAACTCCAAAAGAGGGCGGGGCTGTCACAGATGCCTTTTGTTGTCTGTGGGGGAAATCATTCACTGATTCCCGCTGAGGAGATTCACCGCTAGAAAAAGTCCTGTTGGAGTTCTGATTTAGAGTTCAGGAAGGAAGCCTGAACCCAAACGAGTCTCAGACATGGATTATTGTTGGGTCCACAAAGGGTTAAAGAAGGACCTGATTATTATCTCCAAATCGACATTTTAAAGAAGGTGCTCAAACAAAACAAAGATCAGATCTTCTGAAGGTTTTTAGGTCGAAGCGCTGAGCCCCCCCCCAGTTGGAATTGGTGTGTAATTTCTTCACAAACAAACATCTGGAACTACAGGCGGATTTATTGTCCTGGATATTCTGCGTTCTGAGTTCATCCCATCGTGTGCGGCGCCGCTCTCCCTGCCACATGTTTTGATGTTTGCTAAGTGCGTCTTGATGAAGCGCGCCGCCGCTCCTTCCTGCTCCCAACATTTTAGCCAATATGGGCTGTCTCTTAGAAAACGGCCGAGGAAAATAGAATCAATGTGGGGAGCATCGGCGCGTTCTCCCTGAAGGCAGAGCCTCATAAAGCCACAGCAGATATTTGTCACAATCAGAAATCTGACAAAGAAAATCTCTGAAGGGTCCTTCATCCAGCCTGCGAGCAGATTTATGCTCGTTTACTGGGAATGCTTGTGGTCTCTTCATGGATTTAAGCTTAATACAAACTCAGATGTCTCATCTTTGTTCTGGGTATGATCAGAAACTCAACAAATTGAGGTTTAAAGATGAGTTTTTGAGACATCGTAGCTGATTTATTCACTGTTAAATTATCACTGATTAAAAACATTAATAATAAAAATATATGTCCAAAAATGTGTGTACTATTGCGTATTCGCTATTTAAAAACTGGCTTTTAAAATAAAGATTTTCTAAAGGAAATGACTGTGAAATAAAAATTTTATATTTTTTACAACCCTGCTGCAGCCTGCTGTAGCTAGCGCTAACAACAAGCTAACAGGAGCCAACTAATACTAAAATAAATCAAGTAAAGAGATTCTCTCGGCTGGACAAAATTATTATTACTTACAAGTTCAGTAGCAACAAAGCCAGGTCATCATCAGTCCACTCCTTTAGCTCCCTCAAACTATCATATGCTGATGTATAGCTCCTTGCTTCACCTCCAAGACATTACTCTCTTACTTTTACTTCCAGGCGCCACCATGATGTCAGCAAAAAAAGTAAACTTCTTTTCCTACCCTTCTGCTTTTTATTGACGATCGGCAAAATCCATCCATTTTCATCTGCTTATCCGGAGTCGGGTCGCGGGGGCAGCAGCCTAAGGCGAGAGGCCCAGACTTCCCTCTCCCCAGCCACTTGGGCCAGCTCCTCCGGGGGAATCCCGAGGCGTTCCCTGGCCAGGTGAGAGACTTATGGGCCATTCCCATCTGTACCGGGTCGGCCCGGGCCGAGTATCATAGGTTGTTTGCATATCTGGGTGGCCTGGTATTTTCCCGGGCCAACCAAGGCTCATTCTCAGCCCTCTTCTCGAGGGGGTCTGCTTCAGGCCGACCAGGGCCAACACACCCACTGCTGACAGCAAATTCACACCTTCCATTAGAGCAAGCCTCTGATTGGTGGGTAGAATCAGCCCATGTGGGCTTAAGGCAAGGATGTGTGGAATCAACCGGGCCAGGCTGGGGCCGACTGGGGCTACCCGGCCCGGGCCGAACCGGTACAGATGGGAATGGCCCAAACCGTGTCCTGGGTCTACCTTTAGGTCTCCTCCTGGTTGGACGTGCCCAGAAAACCTCACCAGGGAGGCATCCAGGAGGCATCCTGACCAGATGCCCGAGCCACCTCAACTGGCTCCTCTCGATGTGGAGGAGCAGCGGGTCTACTCCCAGCCCCTCCCGAATGACCGAGCTTCTCACCCTATCTCTAAGGAAGAGCCCAGCCACTCCTCGGAGAAAACTCATTTCGGCCACTTGCATCTGCGATCTCGTTCTTTCGGTCACTACCCAAAGCTCATGACCATAGTTGAGGGTAGGAACGTCGTAGATCGACCGGTAAATCGAAAGCTTCGCCTTCTGACTCAGCTCTCTCTTCACCAGGACAGACCGGTAAAACGCCCGCATCACTGCAGATGCAGCACCAATCCGCCTATCGATCTCACGCTCCAGTTTTCCCTCACTCGTGAACAAGACCCCGAGAAACTCCTCCACTTGGGGCAGGACCTCATCCCTGACTCGGAGAAGGCATTCTACCTTTTTCCGAATCAAGACCACGGTTTCAGATTTAGAGGAGCTGATTCTCATCCCAGCTGCTTCACACTCGGCTGCGAACCGCTCCAGCGAAAGCTGAAGATCACGTTCTGATGAAGCCAACAGGACCACATCATCTGCAAAAAGCAGAGATCTGATCCTCAGACCACCAAAACGGATGCCCTCCACACCTTGGCTGCACCTAGAAATCCTGTCCATAAAGGTTATGAACAGAATCGGTGACAAAGGGCAGCCTCGGCGAAGTCCAACTCTCACTGGGAACGAGCCCGACTTACTGCCGGCAATGCGGACCAAGCTCTGACACCGTTCATACAGGGACCTAACACCCCGTATCAGAGGGCCTGGTACCCCATATTCCCGGAGTGCCCCCCACAGGGCCCCCCGACGGACGCGGTCAAATGCCGACTGGTTGGGCAAATTCCCACACACCCTCCAGGATCCCCCTAAGGGTATAGAGCTGGTCCAGTGTTTCACGGCCAGGACGAAAACCACATTGCTCCTCCTGAGTCTGAGGTTCAACAATTCGACGGAGCCTCCTCTCCAGAACCCCTGAATAGACCTTACCTGGAAGGCTCAGGAGTGTGATCCCCCCTGTAGTTGGAACACACCCTGCGGTCCCCCTTTTTAAATAAGGGGACCACCACCCCGGTCTGCCAGTCCAGTGGGACTGCCCCCGATGTCCACGCGATATTGCAGAGCCGCGTCAGCCAACACAGCCCCACAACATCCAGCACCAGAGATTTGAGAGGCCAATCCAAAGTCCCCAGACTCTGCTTCCTCACTGGAAGACGTGTTGGTGGGATTGAGGAGGTCTTCGAAGTATTGTGCCCACCGATCCACAATGTCCTGAGTAGAGGTCAGCAGCACACCGTCCCCAATATAGATGGTGTTGGTAGCGCACTGCCCCCACCCCCCACCCCCGCTCCATGGTCTCACCAAACTCCTCTCATGCCCGGGTTTTTGCCTTGGCGACCACCCGAGCCGCGTTCCGCTTGGACTGCTGATACCCGTCAACTGCCTCTGGAGTCCCACAGGCCAAGAAGACCTGATAGGACTCTTTCTTCAGCTTGACAACTGAACCGCCGGTGTCCACCAGCGGGTTCGGGGGTTGCCACCATGACAGGCACCGACGATGCGACCACAGCTCTGGTCGGCCGCCTCAACAATGGAGGCACGGAACAGGGCCCATTCAGACTCAATGTCCCCCGCCTCCCCCGGAACATTTAGGAAGTTCTGACGGAGGTGGGAATTGAAGCTCCTTCTGACAGGAGACTCTGCCAGACGTTCTCAGCAGACCCTCGCGATACGTTTGGGCCTGCCTGGTCTGACTGGCATCCTCCCCCACCATCTAAGCCAACTCACCACCAGGTAGAGGTCAGTTGGCAGCTCTGCCCCTCTCTTCCCCCGAGTGTCCAAGACATGCGGCCGCAGGTCAGATGAAACAACAACAAAGTCGATCGGCAAAATGAAAATGCTAGTAGCTAGCATTACAGCTAACAGCCGTAATCTGCTTCCAGTCGGTAACAAGATGGCGCCTGTGCTTGGCTTAGCCGCAGTCACCGGCCACTTTTTCAAACTTTTCTCCACTAACCTCCTCTTTTCCACCTTGCTCCTGTCTGCGATCCTCTTCAGTAGTGTCCCTGCTACCATCTCCTATGATCGCCAGACTCTTTTGTCCTTCCATTCGTTCACAATCGCCCAAGATGCACCGAGGACGTACTTCCCTGTTTGTTTATCTGAGTGGCGCACTGGCCCGGAGCCAAACGACGATCCCAACCAGCGCGCCCCCAGTGGTGTTTATCCACTCCCGGGAAAATGTCGGAGGAAAAGAGGTAAACAAACAGGAATTCAGGTGAGAATAAGACTTATCTTAAAGCGTGGTTTATCTAGTAAACATTGGCGTGATCTTCTAGCTTCTTGTCCTTTGTTTGGCGACTTGAGCGCCACTTCCACATTCCCGCCAGGCCGCGTTGCAGCGCGGTTTCTCCGTCCAAGTTTTTAAGGTCTGTTTATCCTCATTCCTCAGTGGTTTCTCCTGTTCCCTCCATAAATAGTTTTTAAAAACACCAAGGACCTAACCCTGCTAACCTACATCCACTAACTCCAGTTGTTTCTGTAGTTTCTGATTCCTCCACCTCACTCAGATGGCTCTATTAAATACCCACTCTGTTAACAATAAGACCTTCCTGCTCAATTATCTAATTCTCTCTAAAAACCAGGATTTTCTGTTTCTGACTGAAGTTTGGCAGCAAACATCTGATTATTCTGCTCTTTTTGAACTCTGCCCGAGTGGTTATTCTTTTCTTAGCCAGCCCCGAGGTTCTGGTTGTGGTGGAGGCCTAGCTGTTGTTTTCAGAGACCATCTTCCATGTAGCTCTACAACCTCTGGTCACTTGCTTCCTTTGAACTGCAGCTTATTAAAGTCGGGCGTAAGGACCCGTTCTACTGTGCTGTGGTCTATCGTCCACCTGGTCCAAACAGTTCTTTCCTTCAGGAGTTTAGTGACTTTCTGTCCTCCACTGTGAAGCTGTCCAGACTGGTGATTGTTGGTGACTTTAACATCCACGTTGATGATCCCTCTGATCACTTTGCCATGAATTTCTCCAGCCTTATGGACTCCTTCAGCTTTACCCAGCATGTTTCTGGCCCCACACACACCAGGGGACACACTCTAGATCTTGTTTTTACCTTGAGTCTAAATGCTGACAGTGTTTGTCCTGAGGACGTTTATATTTCAGATCACCATTGCATTTTCTTTACCTTGTCAGTTTCTGCGTCCCCACCTCCTGCTCGCCGTATGGTTAGTTCTCGTTTTCTTGATGAGAGCACAGCTAGCAATTTTTCTGCTGCTTTTGATCCACCCTGTTCTTCTGATAACGACCCAGATTCCTTAACTTCTCAGTTTAACGAGCACTGCCTCTCCATTCTGGACAACATCTGTCCTGTCAGAGCCAGATCAGGTCCTGCAGAGAACCCTTCTCCCTGGTTTAATGACAGCCTTCGCAGCCTGAAGCGCCAATGCAGAAAAATTGAGCGTTTGTGGAAGAAAACCCATCTCCACGTCCATCTGCTGCACCTTAAGGATCTTCTGACATCCTTTAACTCTGCAGTCAGAGATGCTAGGGTTTCTTATTTCTCCAACCTGGTGTCCCAGAGCAAAGGGAACCTCAAGGTGCTGTTTAACACCATCAGCAGCATCGTCTCTCCTGCCTCTCCTACAGCCTCCATCCACTCTGTTACAGACTGCGAGAACTTTCTGTCTTTCTTTGTGGACAAAGTCAATAAGGTTAGATCTAGCATCTCTCCTTCAGCCTTATCTCTGCCTCTCCTGACTCCAACCAGGCCCATCATCCTAGATAGCTTTGCTCCTGTTTCTTTGCCTGAGTTAACCAAACTAGTTAACTCTATGAAGACCTCTGCATGCCCCCTCCACATCTTACCCTCATCTTTGTTTAAAAGTGCTTTTCAGTCCATCGGTCCCAGCGTGCTCTCTATAATTAATGCTTCTCTGGTCTCTGGTCAGGTCCCTGCTTACTTTAAGAACGCTGTAATCCACCCGCTTCTTAAAAAACCGAGTCTTGACACCTCTCTCCATAGCAGCCTCAGACCCATCTCTAAACTTCCGTTCATCTCCAAGATCTTGGAAAAGGTTGTGACTAAACAACTCACAGCTGCTCTTGATGAACATAACATCTATGATAGCTTCCAGTCAGGTTTTCGTAGAGCTCATTCTACTGAAACAGCTCTTCTTAGAGTCTCTAATGACCTTCTGACTCACAGTGATGCAGGGGACTGTTCTGTTCTGGTCCTGCTGGACCTGACTGCAGCCTTTGACACTATTGACCATCACCTGCTACTGGAGAGGCTGAGAGACTGGGTAGGCCTATCAGGATCTGCTCTGGAGTGGTTCTCTTCTTATCTTTCTGACCGCTCCTTTTCTGTGGTCGTCTCCAAGTTTAGACTTAGACTACTGTAACTCTCTTTTCACGTGTCTGAGCAGAACCTCCCTGAACCGTCTACAGGTAGTTCAGAACGCCTGTCCTCGGCTTCTGACCAAGTCCTCCAAACACACCCACATCACCCCGCTTCTCCTCCAGCTTCACTGGCTGCCAGTCAACTTCAGGGTTCATTTCAAGATCCTGGTTCTGGTCTATAGGGCCTTACATGGACAAGCACCATCTTACATTGGTGATCTTCTTAGTCCCTACACCCCCAGCAGGTCCCTGAGGTCCAGTGATCAAAGCCTACTGGTTGTGCAGCACCAGGCTAAAGGTCAAAGGTGACAGATAATTTGCTGCTGTGGCCCCCAGACTCTGGACCTCTCTCCCCCTGAGCCTGAGATCAGTGGACTCAGTGGTCTCCTTTAAAAAGCAGCTGAAGACTCACCTGTTCAAGCTGGCTTTTGTATGACCTTCTTCACCTCTCTCTCTTTATTCTGCTCTCCCCACCTATTCCACCTTCCTCAGGATCCACTGATTTCCCTCTTTCCTGTTCACTCTCTCTCTTTCTTAACATTTTCTAATCACAATTGTCTATTTTTGGCTCATTTAAAATAAATTTTGAACCATTTTCTAAATTCTTTTTTATATTTTTACATTTTTTTGTTTTTGTGAAGCACCTCGTGATTTTTATCTTGAGAGGCGCTATAGAAATTATATTTTCTTCTTAAGCAGGTAAAGAGCATCCCTTATGTAATTTCTTACAAAGAAAATGGCTCCAAATGCACAAAACCCAGAGTTTCTTTAGTTTTATTATGAAAAGTTCATTACTAAAGGAACTTTATTGGTAACAAACTCACTAATCATTAAAGCTGTCCTTCTGAGGAGCAGGACTGACTGACTTGTGACCCTGCAGGTCTCCTGGATCTGGGAACCTGTGGACGGTCAGAGGGACAACATCGCTGTCTACCATCCAGTTTATGGGCACAGCTTTCCCAATCCGTCCTTCAGGGACCGAGTGGTTTTTCTCTACAACAACCTGAAGAACCCATCCATCAGGATCAACAACCTACGGATGTCGGACGCTGGACGCTACACCTGCGAGTACGCCACCTACCCGTCTGGAAACGAACAAGGGACCACGTCGCTCATCATGCTTGGTGAGTCCCTGAGCCCGGTTCCTCCAGCAGAAAGTGTGTGTCTCTGATGATGCTAAACACTCTTAATGTGGCTCCTCTGCTCTGGAACCTTCAGCAGCCATCTGCTTATCTCAAACATATTCCCAATCCGGCTGAACTTCAAGGAGTTGGCCTCTTCTCCGGATTTATCCGGCTCAGATGTTTTATGAAAACAAGATTCAGGACGTCTCCCGCTTCAGAGACTCTAAACTTTGTCTGGAGATAAAAACGTTTATAATTTAGATGAACGGGTTGACGTGACCTGAATTTTTATTTCTAAAGTCTCCGACTGGAAAGTTTTAGCTTTAATTTTGACCCTTTGAGGTTCCGGTTAACCATTAAAACTAGGGCCGTAACTCGATTAAAAAATTTAATCTAATTTAATTAGAGGCTTTGTAATTAATTAATCTAAATTAATCACATATTTAGAGTCTTTATGTTTTAACTTAAACTTCTGTTTTCAACTTTAAGACACGTTGCTTGTGATTGTTTACAGAGTAGTGAGAACACGGAGCGTTCTCCCAGCGGCAGCCAGGTGCCTCTCGTTTGTCTGGCTACTTTCATAAACTACTGTTAGGACACAGAATTATTCTGTCTGGTGTTTTCAGCGCTATACAGATGTCACGTAAATGTTAAAAATATAGCTTACCGCAACTTTTGTAAAGTTTCCGGTGCCACCGGGCAGCCGCAGCAGAGACGATCTCTGAAAAATATCCGCAACACGGACTTCGTTGTTGTCTGGAAGTATTTTTTTCCCAAGTTAAGAAAAGAGGCGGACGGGTTTCCTAAATCCTGCATCAGTCCAAGCAAGGACACTTCTTTCTGTTTTTATTCCGTTTTAGTAGCCATTAGCACTGTGCATTGTTGTGTGCGTCAGTGATATTCGGTCTACGAGGAAATTGTGCAGTGACAAAGGTTCCGCCCTGTTCGAAATGCAAGCTGTCATTAAATGCGTGAATTTTTTTTAACGCGTCATTTTTTCTAATTAATTCAACATAATTAGCGCATTAAAGTCCAGGCCCTAATTAAAACCTGGCCTGTTTGAGTCAGAAGGAATAAAAATAATACAATTTTTTTATTAAATTTTACAAATAAAATAAACAAAGTTAAAAAAAAACATTTTAAAATCATCTAAAGATAAATAACAAAGAAAAATAAATCCTTTAATTCCTTTAATAGATCTTTTTTTTCCATAAACGTTTCTTATTAAATAATTTACTAAAACATACCTAAACCGTTGACGGACCTTATGTGTTCTCTCTTGTTTTCTGTTGTTTTTCTTCCATTTGACAGTTTTATTCTTTATTACTTGTGTTTCTTCCTGTCTGGTAAGTCTAAATGTCCATTCATCACAGATTCCTGATGATTTGTGTTTCACTATTAAAGTCTCATTTATAGCAGCCAAAGCAGGTTAGTAAGTGTTAAAATAACCTGAAACATGGTGGACGCTTCGCTTCGGCGCCGCAGACACTCACTCATAATTGAATGATTCATTTTAACTTCCTACACGTGTCCATTTGGCTTCAGCAGAACTAAAATAATCTAGATGTATTCACTAAATCTGACTTTCTCCGTCATGTTGGGCGAAATGAAACATTTTCCTTTCAGTTTTTTGAGTAAACATTAAAAACCCAGTCTGGACCCGTCGCTCACCGATAGCGGAGCGAACAGGAGGTGCAGAGCAGCATGGCGTGGATTCTGGCTGCTTTACAGAAGGAAGCGAGCAAAGCCTCCCAGCTGCTGCAGCTCCTGGCTCCGAGCGCAGGTATACTGGGAAATACCTGCAGGAACGCGGCTCCCCCTTTTGTGTGGAACCGAGTCAGCGCCAAGCCCGCTGAAACCGAAGCCGGTCCCCGGTGATGCATTTAAAGTCCCTCTAAGTCCTATTTTATCTTCTTCACTGCAGAATCCATATGAGCCAATCACATTAGAGCTTACTGAATCCACAACAGCCAATCATGTTACAGCTTATTGGATCTAAAAGCACCGACACCTCAATCGTAACCCAGCTGGGTTAGGTGTGAATACACAATCCTCCTCTGGGCCTCGGCGCCGCAGCGGCTCGTCTGATTGGCCCTTATTGGGGCGTGGCTCCAGTAGCTCTCGCTTGGCGGTGATGGATCGTCTCAAACCCAGACCAGACTAAATAAATGGAAGCCAGATCCGTGGCAGCTTATTGGATTTAGTGAAGCCAGCTATGAAACAGGACTTCAGGCGAGTGTTTAATGTGTTCGTCAGCATCATCATGGCTGCTTTAAATATGAAGAGAGGGGGTTAGAGGGCTGCAGCGCACAGAGGAGGGGGCAAAGGTCAACAGATCAGAGGTGGGTCTGACCTCGCACAGAGGAACAGGTCTCTGTTTCTGGAAAGGTGGATGGAGAATAATCCAGTAGTTTGATGACGGTTATCTGGGTGAAAATGTGAATTAGAGGTTTTAAGCTCCATGATGAAGGCGCTTCAGCCGGCCGGTGTTTCTGTTTTTTCATCATTTTATGTAACCGTAGCAGTCAGCGTGATTAAAGGTGTGTGTACAGTAGATGCTGCAGAAGCATAAAGAAACCATCCGGCTTCAGAGCTACGGGTTCTCCGTGAGTGTGCCGTATGTGTGTGGAGGCCCTAGAGGCAGGGACAGCTCGGTCATCGTTAGGCCTGGTCTAGATCGGCTAGGCCCAGTTCACATAGCCGATTTCTGACCCAATCCTCCCCTTCTGACCATCTTAATGGTGAACCCAATGAGTGGCTCCATAGATGATCTTATCAGATAATCTTACCAAGTGTGGCGTGATAAGAGCGCTCTGGTCTGCTTGGATGCACTTCGGGAGCTGTGGTGCAGCTCACCACGGAGAGATACGGCTCAAGTGAAACGTAAACAACCAACAGCGGATTAAAGTTGGTTTAACGGATGGTTTGTGTGGAAGGATAACTTGGAATCAGCATCTTAACTGTGGGAGGCACTCAGAACAACTTCAGTTACAAGAAAACGCTTTGATCAGACTCGATTGACGGGCTAACAGCTAGTACAAGTCAAGCTAAAACCAAAGTGAACTAAAATAGCCTTTAGTCTTTATCCATCATCAGCAAAAATCTGAAAATCTTCTTTAGGATTCACCAGAACCGCAGATTATGTTGGCAAATAATTCCAGAACTAAAGCTTAAGAACCCTGTAAACCTCTTCAGATGGTAGCTGTTGTAGCGTTGATAGCGGCGATTCTTCCAGAACCGGTCTGGGTCAGCATGACCGATCACAGAAACTCTCTAAATGAGCTCTAAAAATCATTCTTCTGAGGAAAGTCTGAGTTTGTTGGCACAGCGCCGGCTCACGTCCGGTCCAGATTCTGAGAGCTTCAGACGCCAACGGGTCAAACCTGAAAGAACCATAAAACTGTTGGCTCAGTTGGTCTTTGGATGGGAGGTGAACAAAGACTGAGGATCGCTTTTATGGGAAACAGTCAGTAGACAGGAACAGAAGTTTCACATGGCATCAATCATCTCAAAACGACGACTGTGGCTTCTGTTCTCAAGGGTTTAGGCGTCGTGATGGTGGAATAACGGATAAATAATGTTCCTTTTTCAGTTTTTGAACAACAAAAAGACATTTTATTAACGTTTTGCCTTTCAGACGCTCACCGTTCTCTCGTTATCTAAATTAACCTCAGGCTGAAATTAAACCAAGTGAAGATTTCCAACGGCCAGTAATGAGTTGTCAAAACATCCCACAGACGCGTGATCGCTGCAGAAAAGACCCGCGTGCTGAATATTCACGTGTGGCTATGCGTCTGACAAGGTGCAGAGAGCCGAGCAGATGTTTCCCGTAACAGCGCTCAGACACACCTGGACAGCTGCTGAGGCGGGAATTCAAAACCAACAGGATCCAAAAGCGTCTATCGGGTTTCTCGGTTTATTCTGTAAAGTAGAGAATAAAATAAACGGCATGTCCGCCCTTCACAGCAGTGACTAACACCAGGTCTACAGACAGAGGAGCGTTCGGTTTGTCAGCTCCTGAGGCTTCCATCACTTTCTGATCAGATTTCGTTGGAAAACCAGGCGATGATCCGTTTGTCCATTCTGCTGAACAAGGCTGCGTCTCCAAAGGTCACCTTAAGGTCCTGCGACAGGCGTCGCCTTCTCCAGCCGACCTAACACCAGCCCGTTGGTGAGGTGAAATCTAATTTGCTAACACATCAGTCCTAATTTAAAAAGCAGCACGCCGGCTGACCCAGAGGCAGGGGCGCGGTAACGGCTGAGTCATGGGGACGCGGTGGAGGTTGATGTCGTCGTTATCGGGCAAACATCAAGGTGAAGTTGTTCTTTTATCCATTAGTGGTTTTATGAGCAGCTAAATGTCTCATTAATGAGACGCTGTTTGCTTTGGTCTGTTTTAACTGCAGTAACACAGAAACTGGCAGTCGCCCCCTAGTGGCTGGCTCGAGTATATGTTTTAGGCCCCGCCCCTTTCACATAAATAAATAAAACATGTTTCCAGACTCAAATGTAAAAGTGTTTTGTTTCTTTCCTTGCTTGTATTTCGATCCCAATCCGTAGTTCTGATGGTGAGCAGGTGCTCTTGCAGCCCGCCCAAGGTGCCCCCCATGCACCTGAGCCCAGAACACACCTGGCAGCTCTTGGAGCTCAGAACAAGCGTGAAAATGTTTCGGAGGATTTCAACACGTTTTTCTGCCGCCGCTGCTTTCGTCTAGCCGCTTCGCTGGTCTCATGAGTGCGACACCCTTACCGGTTCTACCTGGTAAAGGTGACTAATAGGGCTGCACAATATATCGAAAACTTATCGTCATCGCGATAACAGGACGTGTGATAGGCCCATCGCAAAACACGTCAAAAACAGCGATAAATGTTTGGTTCAAACATTTCCATCCGTGTCATACATCAGCTTTTTGTAAACCAGCTCTGTTTTTTATGCGGAAGTATTATTTGACCAATCAAATGTAGTCCTTCTGATATGCGGCCAATCAGATGGGTCCGTT